GGCTCTGTGCAGTTTGCAAAAGATTATTTTGTTACTGTAGGAAAAAAAAAAAGACAAAAAAAATCCAGTTTTACAACAAAAAAATAAAAGCTGTACAAATGGGTTTGAGCTACCTGGACACGTACCGTGAGCCAGCCAGTTTTCCACTGCATTGTAAAGTTCCCTTGCCGTTGGTTATGACAATTTGAAGACCTTTTTCCTTAAATTATCTCAGCTTTTAACTGCATTTCAGAAAGAAAAAAAAAAAGACTTTTGTCTAAAGAAGAGTATTATTATTATTATAATGATTATTATTATTATTCTGTGTTCTCTCGACACCCTAGGATTTAAAAAAACTGATATGCAAGTAATTGGAGTACAAACATGAAAACAAACAGACAAACAAGTATAATATTTGCAAATACGAGTATAAAAAGCACAATGAGACGCAGTAAAACAATGACAAGGCTTGATTTTTTTTAATTTTTTTTTTTTAATTCTGTAGAGAAATGTTTGTGCAAATTCAGTAATTCAACTGAAGAGATAATTTTACAGCTATGTTCAATAAAGCCTCTTTCCAGGTAAGGTACGCCAAGTGGTACGTGTGTTTGTTGAGCAATATGCCCATGCACCCTGGATGGGTGTGACTGGGACAGCTTGGTTAAACTGGTGTTATCTGAAGATATAATGGTCCAGCTGGTGTTGCTCAGGGGCTGGAGCTTCTTGAGGTTCAGCTCCCTGGTTTGTAGGGGGTTTGTGGTGTCTGTAATCCCCCAGAAGGCTGCTCAGAAGATGGTAGGAGCTCTGAGTCTGGATGGACTGCGGAGTTAGACGCCCTTAAATAAAATAAAATAAAAAAAAAATGAAATTTCCCACTAGCAAGCACTGGATTTTAATTGTGGACAGAGGACCAGGCTGGGTATGGCGAGACCCTGATGGATATTTTTGCTTAGGAGGTTGGCACGTCACGTAATTCAGGATTTGTGGAAAACCCAGCCTTCACATGCACCCCTTCCCGCTGATCCCTGGTGGAAGCTGCAGAATCCGAGAGGCTTTTGATGTGGCTGTCTTCGGGTGCTGCATCACGTCCCTGACACGTGGGGATGGCCACGTGGGCTCTCGCTTCGCCGCCTCCTGATGTGTTTCAGGACGCCTGATCAGATGAAATTCCCCAGATTGGGAGAGTATGGGGAAAAATAAAAAAGAAAGAAGGGTGATCTGTCAATCAAAACGTGAAGCGTTCCATAAAATATTTTCCTGTTTTTCCCTCAAATTCATCCCTTCCCAAAATGGACTCAAAGCCAACTGAAATGTGGATGCCCGTTGGTCAGCACTACCAGAAGTGTCCTCACGGTGTGGGGCTGATGGCGGCGGTGGGATGGGGGGACTCCACAGAAAGGAGGATTTGGGAAGCACCCTGTGATGTCCCTGCTGCTCAGGCAGCTGTGGTGAAGACAGCCTGATGATGATGAAATGGAGATCGTTCTTGCTTGTTTTGATCCCGAACTGCAAACGGAAATCCGTGTTTCCTCTTCGTATTTTGAGTTCTCTTTGCCTTGGGCGAGGACCACTTTGAGTATTTGATGAAAGTTTTTGATTGACAGCCAAAGCCCACAGACGTCTTCTTTCAGGGCAGGATAATCTGTTTGTGCTGAAAAGCCCAGGTCTTTCTGAGGGAGGAAATTTATTTCGCATGCCTGTCTCAGTTTTAGTCTGCTTGGGTGCAGAAGAAGGTGCTCAGAAAAAGCTGATTTTCTCATTCAGATGTTGATTTAGACATAGTGTTATCTTCCTTTGCATTCCCAATATAAGCTGCTGAAAAGGCGATGTGACTTCCTGTGGGCGATGAATAAGGAGTACAAACTGAGATATGTATTTCCTAGTCTTGATTTTATTTTTTTTTGCTTCTTTTTCATTTTGGTGTGAAAAAAATGAATGTAGTACTTGTACAATTTTTGAACTGACAATCAGACAAAAGGGAGTTCGAACTGGCGTCTCTTGTATGAAATTTGCCAAACCCTGTGGTTCAGTTCTTGGGTATGCCATCTAGTAACGTTTCTGCTGTATTTTTAAATTGGACATCAAATACACGATTGTGCAAATGTGGACTTTGCGGCAGCTGCAGCTGTTGGGATTGGCAACTGTGGTTTCTGGGAGGTGGTTGTGGGGGGTTGGCTCTGACTTCCCCAGGCAGAGGTAGGTGGAGCCCATGATAAACTTTCTGGGTTTTTTTCAATCCTTTCTCAGGATGATCTGGGAGAGCAAGGACATTATTGGAGTACTCCCCTTTCATTGCCTCCCACAAAGCCATACCAGCTCTTCCCCAGAGCGTGTTGATTGAACGTGAAATCCCACATTCGATTATGAAGCACGGTTAATCTCACTGTGTGACCGTTTCTCCAGCCAGGCTGGGATCCTGGCTGGGACACAACAGGGGATAAAAGAGAATAGACTCAACAGAGGGGCAAACACGTAACAAATCACACTGTAGTGACAACTGGAACCCATCAGGGTGGCGGTGGCTGATGTGCTGAAGGCAGTCGAGGGTGCACTGAGCCCATCTTGTGTCAGCCAGTTTGGGGAACTTGTTATCTAAGGGTGTGCTACTGTCAGGCCCATAGAAATTTGCGAGGATGTGAAATTTCCTATTAATTTGGGAGAGGAGCTGCTGGTTCACCCAAACGAGATGGAGCTGCAGCCCCCAGCCCCACACACTGATGCTGGAGTGGTTTTCTTCTTGACATCCAACATGGCGGAATTTAGTTTGAGCACCTTTTGGGGCAATTGGGATCCCCAAACTTGAAAACAAAGTCAATCAGTTAAAACATAAACTTACTGTTCAAGTTTGTTTTCTCCTTTACTGCCTTGTAAGGTGAGTGAAACCCCTTTGTAGTGGGAAGTTTAGTCAGAATGATGGGATTTTTTTTTTCCCCATCCTTAGTGGAAGAGGCTTACGAGGTTTAATTTTACTCGCTAGTAATCCTTTTCATGTATCAAAGGATAATTGAAACTCTCTTCCTCCCTGAGAAGAACTGTGATCCATCAGAAGAATGGTTTTCTAGAGCAGTTTGATAAAAAAGACACGGTTTGCTATTATAAGCACTCTCTGCCTATATATGCTAATAAAGTGATTGGGTGCCATCTGGATTAATTCTTATATTTTCCCATAAAACTACACAGAGTTATAAAGAAGTTGGTATTACATTTTCAAATTTGGGGAATTTTTCTTCTTTTTTTTTTTTTTCCCCCCCCAAAAGAGCAACACCACAGGAATGTGCTGCCTCGTTTTACAGCTGCCCCACCACGATACCGACGTCAGTCTCGGCAGCACAGAAGGAATTAAACCGGCACGTACTAACAGTTATGATTTTCCTTCGTGCAGAGTAGCTTAGCCACCCACAGCTCACGCAATCCTGCAATCACCGGCCCTTCAGTGTACAGGATTTTTACGACATCCCTCCCTAAAGCACCAGACTCCGGTGTCACCCCGTAGATCCCATGGGAACGGGCTCTGGCACGTGCTGGGAGGAATTTTCCAGGCAGACCTGCTGCCGGCAACTACCCCGTGCTTCCCCACCCATGAAGTCAACAGTCTCAAAACCAGTCGAAAGGTAGAATAGGGAGGATGCATTTGGTTTTTGCCCGCAACAGTGCTCGTAAGGCTGATTCAAACTCTGGCTGCTGGGAGGTTCGCCACCCCAGTTCTTGTGTTCACGGCCAGTTTAGCTTCGTTTGTTCTTGTGCTGGTAGCATTAAAACGTATTTTCCTCCCTTTCTGATGTTAAGCTCCTCTCCCTCTGTGCCCCCAGACCAACTTTTGGCTGGTTTTTGCCAGGCTACGATTTTGGTATCTCTGGCTTAGAAAAGATAAACAAAAACCAGGAGCTATTGTTAACCTAAATACAGGATACTTGGGATGGTGAATCCTGATGTTGCATGTTGGACTAGATGATCTTAGAGGTCTTTTCCAACGTTAATGGTTCTGTGATTAAAATATGATATAGTTTTCCTTTGTCAGACTAGGGAGCTTGTACTATGAGCCTTATATGATGGGAAGGACA